CCTTTAGAAAAAACTCAGGACCATTATCAAACTGAATACATTTGACCTTTGTTTCAAATTGGTTTTAACCCAAGTTAATGAAATTTTGCACATTCAATTTTACCTCAGCCTTTGATTTTATTAGAACAATCCAAGTGTAATGACTATAATCATCCAGAATAGTGAAAAAATATTTATGGCCACGTATTGAAGTTATAGAGAAAGGTCCCTAAATATCCATACGAACTATTTCAAAAAATTTGGAAGCTCTAGTCATGCTTGGTAAATATGATACCTTTCTTTGCTTGGATAGATAACATACATCACACGTATTAGTGATATGCTTGGAACTAAAAGGAAAATGTTCATGCAAATGATTTCTAAATAAATGTTCCAATCTAAAATGTTAAAGGTTGGAGTTAGTAATGGGAGTGGTAACAGAGGTGTTCATAGAAGAGGTCCTAAGGAATAAGAGGTGGTCTTCCTTACTAATTACTAGGTGGTAGAGTCCTTCCTTCAATTTAGCTGAACCAATTATCTTCAAGAGCTCACTTCCTAAATTTTATAGAAAATGAGTGTTTAGTTAAGAGTATAAATTAATTTAGAAATAGAGATAAGATTAAGAACATAAAGCACATCATGAATGACAAAATTTGGGGAGAACTGGACAGTGCTTGAGTAATGTGTCGTGACCAAAGTACCATTGGGTAAATTGATTTTAATAAGTTTAATTTTGAAATAAGCTTGAAAATAATCCAACGAAGAAACAATATGATCAATTGCCCTTGAAACTATTATCTAAGGGATAGTGTGTAAAAAATGAACAGGTTGTGTATTTATATTACTATAGACATGATTAAGTGTGCACAAAACAAAGGAGGCATTGAGATTTGAACCAAAAAAAATCAATTGGGGCATTTTGTACGATTTGTGAAAGATTAGCATGATTGGGTTGAGAATTGCCATTTGAGCCCACACTAGCAGAACCAAAAGTTTGTTAGAGGAGGGCCATTAAACGTTGATACTAGGCTGGAGTAAAATTAAAACCTGGCTCATGTAAATATTCTTCTTTCTTGTCATCTTTCCCTAATTCATGAGCATCATTTGTTGCGTTGTTGACAGAGACAAAACAAAACTAAGGGCACAACTATGATACTATGGTCTTCTGAGGTAGCAAAGATGTCCAGGCAAGTATCCATGCTTTCCATAGCAAACGTCAATTATGTGTCTCGAACGACCATAGTAAGTGCAAATTTTATTGGATGATGCTCTTCCACCACTGCCATGGGGAACGTTGCGCCCTCAACTAGAGGATGAGCGATTATTTTCTATTGTATTAATAAAGATGTTTTGATCTTCTATGGTTGTTGTCTTTCATGTTGAATAACAATAGAGAAGACTCAGTTTGTTGATGGCAAGGGATCCATAAGCAAGATTTGGGAACGTACCACGAAGAATCGCTCATCAAGTCCCTTGAGGAATCGGATGATGAAATCTTGTTGATGATAGGCTTTTGTTAAGCAAGTACAAGCAGTCATGGGGCGGTAGTTGTCAAGTTCCTCCCATATTGATTTTAGACTGGTGAAGTGATCAGTCACAATCTATGAGCCTTGTTTAAGCCCATAAATTTCTTCCTGGAGCTCTGCAATCCTCAATAAATCGCTTTGGAAAAAGCATTCTTTCAAATCATTCCAAACATCAATGGCATGATCAAGGTAGATAACACTTTGAGAAATTGATTGTGATAGAGAATTTAAGAGCCAAGACATGATCAAGATGTTACATTGTCCCCATGAAGGGTAAAAAGTGTGGGTTCAGGAATGGAAATAGAGCCAATAAGGAATCTCATTTTGCTTTTGGAGATGAGGGCCATTTTAAAAGATCTTGACCAAGAGTGATAGTTGTTTCCAACTAATGTTGGTGTGACAATGACTGAGGAGGGACTTTCATTTGGTTAAATATAGTAAGGACTTAAGGGATTTTGATTTGTATTATGTATATTTGTGGAGACATTTGATGTATTTGAATGAGAGACCGGGTTGACAGTGTTGGTTAGGAGGAGGAAGCATTTTTAGGCATGATTGAAAAGTGCAGGTATTAATAGAGCTCCAAGTAAGAGCTCTAAGTAAGAGCTCTGATACCATGAAATGATTTTGGATGTAAGGGAGAAAATAAAGAAAAGAGATGGAAAAAAATTGTATTAATGAATATATATTTTTTAATTATAAAGTGACTGTACAACGTGTGTGTGTGTCTATATATATATATATATAGCAAAAGAGCTAAAGCTAAAAAATGATAAGATCTAATCTTAACAAATCTACCAAAAGCGAAAAATGCGTCAAACAAAGAACAGAAAAGATATAACAAACCAATACACCTCAACAAGATATAAGAACTCTTTTATCCGACATTCTATAATCTTCTAAGCATTGAGGTGCCAAATTGGATTGCTACAAAATTTCAATTTTGTTTGAGCTTGTTGGTGGTTTGTATTGGACTCTTCCTTTGATAGTACACTTGTCAAAAATAAAATAATAAAAAAATTAATTTAGTATTATTTTAATAAAAATTCATTCTTTTGTGAAAAAAAAAACAAAAAAAATATTCTTCATTTTTCTGTTGAATATTTTTTAATAAACTTAAATTACTTAAAAATATAAATAGAAGGACCCAAGTGAGTAAAAATGATACTTAAAAAATATCTTTAAAACTATATACTTGCCAAATAAAATACCAATAATGTTATATAAAAAAGAAAAAAATTAAAAACTAGATAACAACTTTTTAAAAATAAGGAGGCATGTAAAAATAATGGTATTTAGAGATATTAAAAGAATATCTAAATTACTGCTTACTAAACTAAGCATGTACTTATTTGGTTATTATCAAATTAAAATTTGGTTTAAGTATATTGAAATATATTTTAAAACTGATGAATACCAAATTGATTATAAAAGATTTCCGATCACTTATAAAAATGTTTATATATATATATATATATATATATATATATATAGATATATATATATATACATATAACATAAAAATGCCTTCTTTAGTTCTTATTAAATGAGAAATTTTTAAATCAATTTAAATAATTTGAACCATGTCGAAAAACAGATATGCAGAGTAATGAAACACATAAAAATATGACTTTAACTGAAATATACTAATATTGTACAATTTTTTTTTCATCACTATCTCAATTATGAATTGTTATATAATTAAGTTATTAAATTTTGCAATAATTATTTTAAATATTATATTTAAGGTATTTTTTTAATTGATTAACTATGTAATGAATTTTACACTATTAGTATATTAAAATTGAACTTATATAATAAAATATTTTAATTTGATAAAATTTTTAAAATATAAAAAAGTTAGTTTCAAGAATGAGGTAGTGTTTATCATGTTCACCATAAAACTGAAGATACAGTTAATTAATTCTAATCTGTTACTTTTATACTTTAATTTTTTTATATAGTAAATTTTTATTAAAAATTATAAAATTTAATATATTGATTATATTAAATGAACCATAAATTTTGATAAAAAAAATATTTAATTTTTTTTATTGTGTATTCTTATACACATTTAAAAAAAGGGTTTTACTTTTATGCAAATTGTGAAATGTGAACGTTGTTGACATATTGAGGGGTGAAGGTTCACAGAAGTAAAGTTCGATTGAAAGATTGAGACTGTGTTGTCGAGAGAAATTTTATCGAAAGAAAAAAGAATTAAGAGTGAAATGAAACACTAATGTAATCATTAATGGGGTTCATAATTATGGTAAACATTTCCTTTGTCCTTGAAGGGAGAAGACGACGACCGTGCTAGATCCTACAATATGCTTTCCTTGGTAATTTAAATGTAAAGAAGAGACATTTCAAAACACTTTCTCAACGGCTTGTGACAATTAAGGTCATTTTGACACGGCTAATAAAGCAAAAAATAAAAAGATACAAGAATAAGAGGAAACCAAACAAATGAAAGAGATACCCTTAGCTTGATCAGAAAAGGAAAAGCATCAATTCAATTGATCATCTTAATAAAGTAGACTTTCAAAAGAAGGGGATTAACATGATATATATATATATATATATATATATATATATATATATATATATATATATATATATATGATCGTGGATCTTAATTATTCACCTAGCCTTTAAGGATATGATCTTGGGATCTGTTAGTTGAAAATGCTTAATTTCACCTAGAATTTTGTCAAGTTGTCCGTGTCTTTACAAGAATTAACAATTACATTTTAGCTTGTAGCCTTGTGGCAGTATCTTATAAACCAACTCTACTCTATATATCGATCCTTATTTCCTTGTCAGATTTTATATCCGCGTCTCCTTATGTATGTGCTAATTAACGACATAATGGAGACAATGCAAATTAAGCTGACTGGTCCATCCTACATCAAGACGACACAAGCTATAATTAGATGCAAATATATATAAGTGAGTATAATTAGAACACGACAATGAATTAAACCTCTGGAAAAAAAATCATGCACCTACATACTCGTGCTAAAGCACATGCACGCTCATCACAATATATATGCTTCATTTCAAGCTTCTTTATTGCCAGTCATTTCTGACACCCACTAGGCCACTATGGCTTTATTTATTTGTGCTTCATATTTTTCCAGCAGCATGCAGCTTATATAATCGTAGCAATATGAAAGAAATTTTGATTGGATCCTACTGAAATGATGATTTCGTTAGAAGGCTATTATTTATGGCTTATCGATCAACACATTTTCTTGCACTTAGCCTACTTAAGAACAAGAGTTTCAAGTTTTCGAAATTTTGTCTCTTTATAATTTCTTTTCGCATGACATAAAAAGAGAAATTATATTTATTTAATTTTATAAAAATATTATGAAATAAAAAAAATGTAATATAAAAGAAATATATAAAAATTAATATATGAATAGTATAACTAAAAAAATCTTTTCGTAAATCAAACCATAAATTAATTAACATACAAAAGCATTTGGGGATTTCAGGTTCTAGGCCCCACTTTAAGTGGCATCCACCATTACAATCATTTCCATAATTCTCTCATTCTAAATTGACCTACTGAAAAAGCATTTGAATTTAAAAAAAGAAAAATGGGGGGGGGGGGGGGGGAGAGAAGATGAAAACCGGTTGGAACACACACAAGCTTGCTGACACAAAGTAGTAGTAATAACTAGTAAATGTATAACTGGTATAATTTTTTTCCCTTTACTTTTTCTTCTCGCCAGAAAATGCTGTGGTTTAAAGTTAGGGTTTTCTTGTTCAGACATTCTCAGTTGATGAAGAGAGGAGTGGCTGAGTAAGTGATGCTTTGGTGTGGCTTGGGGGCCTTATGATGCCATGCTCAGCATTTGACGTAATAGCAAGTTGTTCTCTTGCAATCTTCCTCTCTTCACTTTTACCCCACAAGACAAAGTACAGTCCTCCTACAATCAACACTGCCCCAATGATCCTATGACAATCACAAAGGCAAGAACAAAATTAGAACAAATTTTATTGTTATTTTAGTAGAAAGTGAATTAGAAAGGAGCAAAAAGCAAACAACATAAAGAAGCACACGAGACACGATCTTCTGTTGAATATCCTGTAATAATTTTTCAAACTTTTTTAGCCTCTAGAATGTAGAATCATCAAAAGGTGAAGCCCCTTCTCAGTTATCACCGAAAGGTAACAAACTGTACCTCAACCTCACTTGTTGTTTAATTGGCTTTTGTCATTTTCTAAAGCTTCAGACTAAAAACGGCCCTCTTTATAATTATCATACTTTAGGTCATTTCGGGCTCGGAATAGTGCATAAAATACGTGGTCAAAGTTATCAAGCATTGACTAATGAAGTTAAGTGACTACTCAAATCGGGATATCCTAAGATGTTTTTTCAAATATAGGTGGCATAATATTATTTTTATCAAAATGAGCTTAATTTACCTTAAACATTTAAATTAATAGTTGTATAAGTTTTTATATAAGGTAAATAATTTCATTCAAAATAAACTAATGAAATTAAAATATTATATTTTAAATTGTATTAATTTTGTAGTTAATATTTTAAAGCTAATTTATCTTAATTTATTTAAAATGAGAGTTTTTACTCAACCAATTAACTTAGACAAACCCATAATAATAATTTAGTAATTTAAGACATTTGTTTAGGTTTCTTAGGTTTATTTATCTAATATATCTCTCTTGGATAATTCTAATTTAAAGTAAAGAAAACGAGAAGGATAATTAATTAGTGGGTTAGGGACTAACCCGCCCAAGTAGAACTCTTCTCCTAAAGCAATGGAAGCCATAATGGCAACAACAAAAGTCTGAACAGGCTGATACACGGCGACGAACACAGGGCCACCTCTGTCGATGCACCATATTTGTACAGCGAAGGCAATACCTGATGCCACCACTCCCTGCAAACACATACATACGTTCAAAATTAAAACAAACACTTTTAGATTATATATCATGTCACACCTCAAACCCATACAATGGTAAACATGTAAAATTGTCCCTGCAAACATCCATGTCTCGCAAGACGAAGATTCTTGTCCCTGGTCACTATATATTCAAATATATGACTGAATGAGATAGATCAGTTTTCTGATACAATTTTAATTATTTATTAAAATTTATTTTAAAATATCATAAATTTTATAAGTTTTACTTGATTCTCACTCTTAAATTAATTATTTTTTCTCCTGCTTGTAATAAATTTTACTTAATAGATAGAAGCATATTAAAAAAAACTTTTTATATTTTTATTATTCAATTCTTATTTAATTTTATATTAAAAAGCATTTATTTTAGTTCTTCCTATCCCAATTTTATAAACATTAAAGATTTAAGTAAAAAAAATAATTAGGAACTAACTAGTTAGTTACTAACCGCGTATAGAATTGTGAAAGCTTCTGCACCAGAGTGGAAAAGCCATGCTTGGGCGTCTCTTTCAAAGGCCAAAGCAATAACGAGAAACTGTAAGAGTCCAAAGAAACAGGTGTAGGAAGTGACAGAGAGGCGAGCCGGGTACTTTTTGAGTACCGGTGCTTGCAACACAAGCCAACCAGACCACGACAAACAATGGCCAATGAGGTAGAGACACCCAAGGGTCCAATTCTTACCCTTTGCATCTCCCAGTGAAAGTGACCCAAAATCAAATAAATTTGGTCTCGTGTTGCTGCTATTCACACGAGTTGCTGGACTGTATATAGTTGGACCTTTGTAAAGTGTAATCACAGTTGCCCCAACTACACACAACACCGTTCCCGCCACCTTAGCCAACCCATCTTTTCTGTTCAGTCTCACTTGCTCTATCCTGAATTTACAAAGGCATTTTTTATCAATCATTGATACATATATGTATCATATGCTCCCCAAGGTTATATATTGTATAATTATTGCAAATAACAGTTAATAGAAATATTAATTAATTAAGGCCTTGCCTGAGTATGGCTGCCATGAGAAATGTAATGGCTGGGACAGAGTTCTGTATTGCTGATGCGAAGGTAGGGGATGTGTTCTCCAACCCAAGCAAGTAGAAACCTTGGTTTGCTGTAATCCTGTTTAATGCAAGATTATTATACCAAAGGACCATGCTAAATTCTAATTCAACATGTTGAAAGTGACAAACAAGAAAGTGACAAAGGCATGTAACGTACGTTGCCTTAGAGTTTTTATTTTATTTTGAACCTTGTAATTAATCTTGCATAGTTTGACAATTTAGTTCTTTAATTTGAATCACTATAAATTGATACTGTATGTTATTTTTATTTCTAAATACATGTATCCTAAAATTGTTCTTCAAATATGAAAAAAAGAATACTTAAGGGTGTCAACTTTTAGTGATGCAAGATTTTTTTTTTAATAATTAGACATACCCTACAAGAGCCAGCATAAAGAACTGCCCGATAAAGTTTAAAGTCATCGCAGGCCTATCCTTCCTGTACAAAAGGAAAAGAAACAAATGAAAACAAGTTTTACGTAAGATTGATATGTATATATTTAAGACAATTAACTTAGGACTGTAAATGGAAATATTTATAATATGATTAATTGCATATACTTATGTGGGTGTACATTTATTATTAAAAAATAATATTTGTATAATAAATGTCAACAAACTCTTTTTTACAAATGAGAGAGATATAAAAAGATAAGAGTAATTAAGACAAGTGATATAATAGGAAAAAAAGTTGCTGTATTGGGTGGAATATTAATTAATTGTTAGAGGGGTATATACTAACTTTTCCAAGAAGTATGCAAAGGGAAGGAGCAGAAGCAAAGCGATGACGTTCCGATAGACAGGGAAAACTAGCTTGCTAACGCCCATGTTAAGTGCAGCTCTTGAGACCACATGGAATCCAGCATAGCCAAACTGCAGGGCCAACATGGCCACATGCAGCTGAAGTCTTTCGGGAATGGCACACCACATTCTCTTGGAAGAGGCTGAGCCTGAATCAGCCATTGGAGAAGTAATTAATTTACTGCTATAACTAACTTGACCAAATAATTTAATTAAGGCCTATGACTTTGGCTACTAAAAGGTTGGAAGTGGTGAAGAGAAGGTGGGAAGTAGAGGGATATAAATATAGTGAAGAGTGAGAGCGAGGGGAAAAAGAGGGGGTTAGAATAGAAGCAATATGCAATAGGTATGGCCCACAGTTTTCCTAAAAAGACGTTATGTCAACTGTTGGTAGCCTTCGAATGTTTTTAGTTGTCTCCCATATTTTTTGCTTATCTACCTGCTTAGCTGACAAGACACCCGCCACGGCCCCACCACTATTGCCCCAAACTTGAAAAGAAAAACAAGGGGAAGGGAGCAATGGATCCTACTCAGCCTAGTCCTAGGGGAGGGGGGGTCTAGGACTTCCAGCAAGAGGGTGCTCACATTGCATACATTATAAATTAAAGTAATTACTCAAGTGTTCATTTTATTTTAGGCTATTTTTGGTTAATTTTTATATTATTAATTAATTATATTATATTATAAAATTAATTTTTTATTAAATATTTTACAAATTAATAATTTTTATTGATATTTTTTTTGGTAGAGGAAAGCAAAGCATATTGATATTTATTTTATAATCAAGTAACAATATAATCAGCGTATTAAAATTATATATAATATTTTTTTTATCATTTTATTAGCATAAATATTTTAAATTTACATTAATAATATTATTATGGGAAAATTATATTTAATAAGATTAATATAATACTTCTTTTTATATTATTTTAACTTATATTAATTTATATAATTGTATATAAAATTAAGACAATTTTATTTTGTTAAGAATGCTATACATTAAAACAATTGTAAGACAAAAAATAAAATAATATCAAGTAAAAATTTATTAAATTTTAAAAAATGAGTATAATTTATTCTATTATATATGATATATTTATAGAATGTATTATATTTTCATGCTAATGAAATATATTAATTAATCTTGCATATTAAACAAATAATTAAATCTCTTAAATATGTCTTAATTAATTAAATAATTATCAAGATTATATCAACTTTAGAAATAAAGTATACTTCAACTAAGTACATAGTTGCTTTAATACTAAAAATATATCATTTAAAATAGTTTTATTTAAATAAAACTATTTTCTATAAAAAAATAATTTAAAAATAATAATTATAATCATATTCTTCGACATGTGTATAAAACAATATTATTAAAAATTATTTATTTTAATAATTTCTGCTTCTTAAAAGAAGTTAGTAATATGAATTCATAATATTTATATGAAAAGTGTTAACTGTGATTTTTAAGATTAATTTTTAATTATAATTTTAATTAATATTTATTATAAGTATTAATTATATTTTTTATATATTTTTTTAGTGAAAATTTTAATAAGAAACCAATTTATGTTAAAAATGAATTTCTATTACACAAAATTATAGGCAATGCCCTTTATATTACACCTTTTTTCTGGGGAGATTATTACTACCATTTAACAGCTTGACAGGTTCTGCTCTGGCACCATGCCATTAATGATGATAATTGAGCAATGGCCTCGCCGCCATCAATATATGACACGCACGAGCGGGGTGGTGGATACCCATTCTTTCTCACCCTCTCCCTTTGAGCAATGCTTTCGCTTGACCCTACTTGTTGCGAATCTCACACCCTACTACTCACTACCCCTCTTTTTTCCTTTCTTTTTTATCCTTTCTTTCTACTCAAATAATACATTATCATCGAGTATGGTACGTACTCATAGATCATATGATATGACGACCAATGCGTATAATATACTTTATCGTGCACTAATTCTTTTAGCAGTTTTCTAATACAAATATTAAACAACTCACAAAGCCGATATTTAAAATCTAAACCATCCAATGGATAATCATTATATTACTAAATTAACAGTGGCGTCTAATAACAATGTATATCAAAATACGACTTTTTTCAAATGTATAGATAGATAGAGGACCCGAAAAATAAAGCAGGGTTCATAATTTCGCATATGCAAAGGTTAGCATTACGTTCGCAAGCTGATTTAAAGCATCGATCTCAATGTAAAAGATAAATATAAAACATCGATCTCACGCATGTAGCCAAATCCTCATAAATAAATAATGATGGTTAAGATCATGGGCTGAGGACCCCTTTAAGTCGATCGATCGTTTTCATGAAAAAATTTGTACATAATGATGTGTAACATGATGTGTCCTCAATTTATAAAAAAGAAACAGTTTATAAATAAAAACAGAAAGATTGACAATAAATATATTAGTTAACCAAGTTATTTTATTAAATTATTTGTGTTTGTTGAAAATTAATTTAATTCACACAGCAATACTTGAAATTCATTGTATTTATTATTTATTTAGCATAAAATTGAAATAAAATAATTAATATGTTTTAAAATCCTAAAATGTTAATTAATATGAAAAATTATTTTGCTAAAACGAAACTTAATTTAAAATAGAAGAAGCAATTCTTAAAATATTAATTAAGAATATTTAACTCATTTATTTAAAGAATAATATATCAATGTTTTTTTTCTTGTTAAATGAGGCTTTAAAAGTCTAAAAACAACAAACATCCTAGATTATACCTCTAGAATACTAAGAGTCTAAAACATTCAAGGTTAAAAAAAATGTAAAGCAAGAAGAGCTTTATCAAAACAATAAAAAAAAAATCTCACAATCTACTCCAAATTTGATAAGCTAATCTACACATTGATTTAGTCTATTTAACAATATAACTAAACCTGATAAAACTAATACATTTTAATAAGCTTTTAATATCTCTAATTGTAGAAAATTAAAAAATAAAAAGTGATTACAAATGAAAAAATTTATAATTAGAGAGATAACCTCTTTAATTTAGATTCATATTTAATCTAAACTAAAGAGATTTTTTCTATAATAAAACAAGTTTAAAATTCTAATAAACTCACTAAAGTTTATTGGCCAAGGAGTACAGAGTTCAAGCCACTATAAAACACATTTATAAATCTTTCTTAATTATCTTGAATTACACCGCCAAAGTCAACATATTCAAAATTTTAAAAAAATAGCTCTATCAATATTTAGCTTGAGATGTAAATTAAGGAATAACTATCATTTTATAATAGTAGAATCAGCTTTATGACGGAAATCAATTTTCAAAAAATAAATAAATAATTTTAAACTTTTTTGATAAACAAGCAATCTCTAAGGATATAAATAATATATTCAGCGTCATTTTTTTAAATATATTTATACAATATTAGATATTTCATATTTAATATTTTTATTTTATTCTTAACATTCTTAAAACTTTTATTAGTAATTATTTTACCCCTTAAATTTCATTCATAATCATAACAATTCAATGTGTAGTTAGAGATATCTTGTTTACATCTACTTGTTTTTCACCATCATTTCAAAAAGTGAAACTAAGAACGTATTGTCCTTTAGTATGCAAAAAGTAGCACCTTGCTGCCCACTCCGGGATTCGTTTTCCTTTTCAATGGTTGATTTCTTCTTTTATTTCACAATTTCATTATTTAAATATAAAAAATTAAAATTATACGTAATGTTATTTATGATCATTTTTTATCTTTATTTATCATCTATTGTTTTAATATATACATGTTTCAAAAATATTTTTAAATTAAATAAAGAAACATTTTATTATTTTAATTTGGTATTCACAAAATATTTATTTTATTTTATAAATGTAAGAGGGCAAGTGAGAATTGATTAACTAATTAATTAAGCAGAAAAATTTACAGTAGGTCACTTTCACTAGAAATAGATAGGAGCTAAAGAGATGTTTCCACTTAGGTTCCCACTCCCAAAGTTAGCAGAATGTGCGGGTTGGTTCCTGAAACGAACCTCCTCACTTTAGCAGACATGCTGCTCCCCGTCAAATGCGACCATCATCATTCTCAAATTCAAAGAAAAATAAGCGATTGATATATCAGCCCTTTCGATTTTTCAAAATTAAAAATAAAAAACTAGTGTCTTGCCATCTGACAATTATCAAAGGTTTACTGAAATGTATTACAAAAACCAAGAAAATTATTAAAATTCCATTTATTTTACATTTAGTTATGTATGATTTTAAACTCTTATTTTTTATAAACTTTTTCATTACTTACATTTCTAATTTTTTTAGATAAATATAACTTCAAATTCCTAATCTCCTCTATCTATGATAAGTATTTTTAAAAGTATTTTGGTCTATAAAATTATAAAGTTTAGATGTTTGAGTGATAAAAGGATTTTCTCACATATTTTCAAAAGTATAGTATCAGATTATATATTTTCAAAAATCAAAGTCTAAATTACATGTGACTAAAATGTAAAGGAATAAAATGAACTTTTCTTAAAAATTATTTTATACCATATTTTAGTGTCTGAAATAAGAAAAAGAAAGAAAGAAGAGAAAGATAATGTATAATATAATAGTTTAAAAAATTAGAAATAAAAAAGTAAATAATTAAAAAAATAAGTGTAAACATAACCTGTAGACTAATTTAGAATTAGAAGAAAAAAATTTAATTTTCTAAATAAGAGATATTAAAGTGAGTATTGATTTAAAATTAATATAAATTTAAATTATTTTATACATATTACTAACTTTGCGTTATTTGTGTATAATTTACTTAATTTTGTTTTTGTTATAACAAAACTGAAGCTTTTCTCCTTTTTAATATCCTTATTATAATGGAGTTTTGAGTCTTGACAAATGTACAAAATTAATTTTGAAAAAAAAAACGTGTTCTTCAAATTAAATATAAATATAAAAAAATAAAACATTGATGTGTTTTTTTTATTAAATTAATTATTGCATTTAAAGAAAAAAACTCTAGGAATTTTTTTTTAATTTTTATAGAATTCTATATAAATAAATATACATTACATCAGGGTTTGAGAAATACATAGATTCATAGATCTTGATAAAATAAACGCGACCGAACGATAACTTTTAGTACAATGATTTTTCTTAATCTAATTGTTGTATTCCTCTGACCAAATTTGATATTTTCTTTGAGAGAAAAGTATTTTTTTTTTACCTAGTAT